CTTCTCCCAAATTGTAATCATTAGTTAAAATTAGGGCAAAATAGAGAATCAAAGATAGTTTTCAACACATTGAGTCAAGTAGTTGGAGTAAAATGTTTAGCTCTGGATTTAATGTTTTGTAATCTGTTGCCAAGCCGGGCAAGATCCATAAGACTTGACTGAAGGAAAGCAATCTGGTGACTTATGAGGATGGTGATTATAAGGGCTATGGCACTGTTATTTTGTTGCAGAGGGTAGAAATAGTTCAGATGAGTTCCACTTACATCAGTTGTTTTGTGTGAGCTCTGACATCTATGGAGACTAAAGAATAAAATAGTTAGTACTCTTTCTCCATCTCATCTTCCACATCTCGCTGTTTGGAATTGTGGGAAGAGTTACTCTCTCTAAATGACAAAGATATATAGCATCACAGCCAACAAATGCAAGCATAGAAATAGTTTCAAAGTGCTTCTGTCAAATGAGCCAGGCAATAGAAGCATTGCTTGAGCATTGTGGTCTTTTTTTAAATTCATTCATGAGACGTGGGCATCACTGGCTGGCCAGCATTTATTGCCTGTCCTTGGTTGCCATTGAGAAGATGGTGGTGTGCTGGCTTCTTGAGCCGCTGCAGTCCAAATGCGCTCAGAGTGGGAATTCCAGGATTTTGACCCAACGACAGTGGAGGAATGGTGATACATTTCCAAGTCATGATGGTGAGTGGCTTGAAGGGGAACTTGTAGTGGTGGTGTTCACATGTATTTGCTGCCCTTGTCCTTCTAGATGTAGGCGGTCATGAGTCTGGAACTTGCTGTTTAAGGATCTTTAGTGATTTTCTGCAGTGCAACTTGTAGATAGTACACGCTGCTGCTACTAAGCGTCAGTGGTGGAGGTGATATTTCTGATGGCCCTGACTTATTTGTACTCTGCTCCTGTGTTCAGATTTCTGACATGGGTCACAGTCATCTCCTAAAGAAATATGACCCATTTGTCTAGCGTGTGATGGCAACAGAATAGCAGGCTTGAGCCCAAGGCTCGTCTACTCCTGTCTACTTTCTTTTCATTTCTTTTCACTTTTGCTTCTTTCTTTGGTTCTTTTTTTCTTCTTCATTTTCTTTTCCTTAAAGGCTTTAGTGGCGATTCGGCAGCATCAGCACGACAGCGAGAGCAGGCCTTGTGCGGAACGTGGCAGCCTCTTGGTTGGACGTGGTGGCAGGGTCAGAGGCAGTGGGTCCTCTCCCAGGGTCCTCTCAGTGATCGAAGGCAGCAGCAGCAGCACCACACAGGCGGCTAGAGCGGGCCTTTTGCATAATGGTGGCAGCGTCCTGGCCATCATGGCAATTGGAGGTGGCAGCATCGGTGGCAGCAACAATTTGTTTCCTTCCAGCATTCAGGGGCGGGGATGGCAGCAGCAGCAAAGCTTCTCCACGGAGATAGTGGCACCATCGTCAGCAGCAACAAGAACGCAGCTCCTTCTGAAGATCAATGCGAGACTTGCAGGCTGACCTAGACTCCAGGCCGTGGCTAAGCCTGGGAGGCTGCATCAGTGGCTGACCATTCCAAACACCTTTATGGAGATAAGATTTTAAACTTTAAGATTCGGATGTTTTCTTAATTTTTGGCTCTTTTTTATATATTTTTTAAAATTCTGATCTTGTAACCAAAACGGCAGACTTTGTACACCTTTCATTGCACTCATGCATTTCTATACTTGAGTAAATGTGACGATGAAATCCAATTCTAATGGCCTTATTGAAATAATAGCAGCACAAAAGATTGGTACTGTTTGAATAAATCATGACTGCTCTCAACAACTAAGCCTCTATGACTTAGGCTGCCTCTGGTTGCAAAGAGGCGAATATAAGATGTTTCTCCTCCAGTTTGTGGGTGGTGTCGTCCGATCATCAACCAAAGAGATATTTCCCCTCCCCGCCCCTATCTTCCTTTTGTTGGGACCGCTCTCTCCACGACTCCCTCGTCCGCTCCACACTCCCCACTAACCCCACCACCTCTGGCATCTTTCCCTGCAACCGCAGGAAGTGCTACACCTGCCCCTACACCTCCCTTCTCACCTCCATTCAAGGCACAAGACAAATATTCCACATTAGACAGGGGTTCACCTGCACACCTGTCAACTTGGTCTACTGTATCTGCTGCTCCTGATGTGGCCTCCTGTACATCAGTGAGACCAAGCATAGACTCAGAGACCATATTGTAGAGCATCTGCGCTCTGTGTGCAACAAATGACAGCACCTTCCATTCACCAAACATTTCAACTCCCCCTCCCACTCCCTGGGTGACATGTCCATTCTGGGTCTCCTCCAGTGCCAGAATGACACCACCCGTAAACTGGAGGAGCAGCACCTCATATTCCGCCTCAGGAGCCTACAGCCCGATGACCTAAACATGGAATTCGAAAGTTTTTAAAATCTCCCCACCCACAGCCTCATCCCATTCCAAGTCTCCCTCTCATCACCGCCTCCTTGACGTAACACAAATTGTCCATCTTCTCTTCCACCTATCCACCCACCATCCCACTAACCAATCCCCACCACTTCCTACCTGCACTCACCTATCATCATCTCACCTACCTTCCCCAGCCCCACCCCTCCTCTCTATTTATTTCCCAGTTCCCTTCCCCCTTCCTATTTCTGAAGAAGGATCCCCACCCAAAACGTGAACTTTCCTGCTCCTCTGATGCTGCCTGGCCTGCTGTGTTCCTACAGCTCCATGCTGTGTTATCTCTGACTCCAGCATCTACGGTTCTTGCTATCTCTAATCAGGGAGTGATATCTCTTTCAGTTCAGAAGGATGTCAGGCTGGTTGTGAGGATCTGAAATATAATGTGAGTGAATTCTATGACATTTTGGAGTCTACAGAAGCTGGAGCAGATGAAGTCAATGCTCCCTCAACCTTTTTATTCTGTCACTGGGGAATGTGACAACATAGATTCCTTCTGATATAGTTCTTTTATCCAATGGGGAAGCAGGGGATCAGATAGCTAAGAGCTCACAGTTTACAGACCATTGAGAGTCTATTATGAATGGTCAAGGTCAATGAATTCACATAAGCAATATCAGAGCATAGCGCCAGTAATAAATCATTTAGCCATTTAGCCTCTTTCTGCATTTTAATGATATAATGGCTAATATGTGACCTAATTCCAAATGCTTGCCTTTGCCCCCATATCATCTAAAATCTTTGACTAACAAAATCTAAAAATTTTAGTTTGAAACAACATTAATTACCATTTGCAAAAGTTGAAAATCTTACCATACAAAGAAGTGCTTCCCATTTCATTCTTGAAAGGTTCAACTCTATTTTTTTATAATAGCTCTAGTATTAGACTCCCCAACTAGCAGGTAAGGTTTCTCCTAACCCACTCTACCTGTTCCACTCAACTTCATGACTAAATCACCCCTTAACTTTTCAAATACCATGGAATACAATCTCTTAGCTTGTCTAATCTCTGCTCCTAATTTGACCATTTCCTTGCAAGTACCATTTACAATAGAACCTCATTGGTGAAGATCAATTTTAGTACCCACGTGTGTGGCTGTCAGAACCTTCCCAAACACTTCAGATAATGATCATGGTCCATCTTCAGATTGAAGGATACATGTGAGGTGGAGTTAAGGTAGAACTGGGTTTTGTTACTTTGGTACTGAATATCACAGCCTCAGAACCCTCTGTACATTGATAATCGTCCTATTTCCTGTGCCCAACCAATATTTTTGTTTCCTTGATATGCTTCCTTATTCTAGATCTCTGAATGTTTTACTACTGTATTGTATCCTTTATAATGCTTAACACCCAAAACAAATAACTTCCACTTTGTGACATTTAATACAGTCCCAATTATTCAAGTCCTTTTATCATAGTTGCTGAGTGTGTTTTGCTAAGTACAAATAAAGTAGTTTTATTGTCTTATCACGTAGTTGTTTTCTATCAACTATGCTGCCACTAAACTTTGATGTTTACCTATGGACTCAGCTTTTGTGATCAGACCTGATACATTTTCGTCAATACAGTGTGGAGCTGGAGGAACACAGCAGGCCAGGCAGCATCAGAGGAGCAGGAAAGTTGATGTTTTGGGTTGGGACCCTTCTTCAGAAAAAAGGACCCTTTTGAAGAAGGGTCCCGACCCGAACCATCAACTCTCCTGCTCCTGTGATGCTGCCTGACCTGCTGTGTTCCTCCATCTCCACACTGTAGTGACTTTGACTCTAGCATCTGCAGTTCTTGCTATCTCCGACTGATATAATTTATCTTGCTTTAAGAAAGGCTGTCTCAAAGTTGTAATACTATCATCAGGTTTAACAATTTTGGATGCATTGAAACTTGATGACATAATGTTTTGACATACATATTAAATGATTTTTCTCACAGAAGAAAACCTTTGCGGTTGAGTAGCAATTAAACCCATTTAACATGTTATTTGATGCTGCTTTTGAATTCATGAAAGGAGCTACACAAATCAAAGTTGTTGTTGTCAAACTGATTAAGGAGGTGTACCTGAATTAAATTTGGAAAACTGCAATATTGACTTTCCCAAAATGAATTTTGCCTATCAGGAGAAAATCGTTACAAATTACACTCTATTATTTCCAGCTGTTATTGTCTTGCTTAAGTTAAATTTGTTTCTTAAATACTCCACAATAAATACGCCTGGATCAGAGAGTTTTTGATCTCAACTTAGACTTTGTGCATGGATGTTAGTGATAGCACATACAATTCATGAGGAGATATGTTTCAATACTGTGAATAAATGAGATTACTTACAAAAGTAAGCTGTCATAAGAAATCAAGAGTTGAAACTTTACAGTTGCAATTGTTTTAATTTGTTTTAAGGGATTCAGAATCACTAACACAAGTCTGTCACATAGACCATACTAGAAATTACATGTAAATTACGATTGCCTTACTCCACATTTGTGAGATATTTAATAGACTACATAGTTTAAAATCTCACTGAAACAGAGTCCATGTGTATAGAATATTCTATAAATAGAGATGTACAGTTTTCAGCAGAGAATGCTGATATCTTTTTTAGTGCAACCATAACTGCAGCATTTCTTTGACATTCCTGGTGGTCCTTCCCTTTTCTTCCTGAGGGATCTGGCCCAGGGTAGATGCTGCACCGCTGTTAAGGCAACAGCTTGGTCTTTATTGCTGCCTCCATCAATTTGGTGGATGTACTCCATGAAATCCCCTGGTATCTGATCATACTGGTTGTAGTACTGGTCAAACACTTCATTACCGAAAGATGGCTCAGTTTCCTGGTTTCTGTCACTGCCAAAAAATCTTTGAAGATTACTCATGCTGTCCATCTCCTTGAAGTAATCTTTATCAGCTGAGGTCTGGAAGGGATCTGGAAGAAAAATGACATGATTAATAACAATATGTATTTGCACTGTATGTAGCTAATACCAGCTGTCTTTTGTTTGAGAGAAATGTTCTAGTCACTGGACTTTCAAAAGCATTCTGCTTTAATGCATACCATTGCATTTTGACTATTCAAACATAGTTGGTTAAATATATGTTGTTGTACAATCAGAAAAATAATTGACAACTATCCTGAAGTTGATAATCGCTGTTTGGTCTACACTGCAATTGTTAAAGAAAGTTAATTAAAGCTCTAGTAAATACATCTCCAATCTGAAGAGAAGCAACTGCATAAGAGACATTACTGATTCTAACATGCTGAGGTAAACTTTGTTGGCTGTTGGCAGGTAAATATTTTCTTAACTTTGAATATAGTCTTCTCTTTTCTCCTTCATTCTCTACAGCCACTCCCACCCCTGCCAATGGGAAGTTCATATTTATAGTTTTGATTTGAAAGTTTCTATCTCCTGCTTGATGTTTGACACTTCTGCTCTTTTATTACAGAAGTCACTGGCAAAATGTATCCAGTAGCTACCTGTTGAATGGGAGTCAGTTATGACTCCTGGCTTTCAGACTACATCAGAGCTTTCTCTCCTCCAACAGTTTCTCCAATCCAATTTGTTGTCTTTTCTCAGCCAAACCCTTCAAATATCCCAGACCCTTCTTTTCTATCCCTAATTCCAGGATCCTGTTCTGAAAAGAAGGTAAAGCAGAAAAGAACTTACACAAACTGATGGCATCTCAGTATTAGTTGATGGAAGTGGACTATTGATAATTATTGATTGTAGATTAGTTACATTGTACTCACTATGGGCCAGGGATTGCATGGTCATCATCACCTTCCAAGTTCAGAGGTCTACCTTCCTCTTGTATACCGTCAGCAATTCCTCCAGCTGTTTATTAGATCATTAGAGATATTCTCTCCGTTTTTCCCATCCCTGCTCCCAGTGCTTCGTACAGGAATATTAGTGAAATAAGGTGCCAGTTTGCAAATCAGTGGAAATGTGTACCATTTTAAATTAAAATCTCAATACCAATGGCTTTCCTCCCCGATTTTGTCCTGTTTAGGAATACAGTCGTCAAAGTTCAGACCATACTGAAAGATCCCACTCTCAATTTAAAGCAATAACTAATTCCATGATAATGTGATAGGGGTATTTGACGATTGATTTACCCCGGAAAACTCTTACAATCTGGGAAACCTTGCTCTCTCACAAATGCTGTGACTCAAATAAACAGTAATTGATTCCTGACGGCTGCACTGGCTCTTCCCGACCTGAGTGTTATTACCAATGCTGAAATATGAACTGACAGATGTGAGAATAAGTGTCAGGCAGCACTTGAAAGAGTGCATCAGAGAGGAGCAGGAAAGTTGGCGTTTCGGGTCGGGACCCTTCTTCAGAAAAGTCCTTTCATTTTCTGAAGAAGGGTCCTGACCGGAAACAGTAACTTTCCTGCTCCTCTGATGCTGCCTGGCCTGCTGTGTTCCTCCAGCTCCACACTGTGTTATAAAAACCAAAAGAACTGCGGATGCTGTAAATCAGGAACAAAAACAAAGTTGCTGGAAAAGCT